ATATATATATATATATAAGTATAATGTATAAGTATACTCTCTCTTATATATGTATAATATATGTATAAGTATATATAAGTATACTCTCTCTTATATATGTATAATATATGTGTGTATATATAAGTTTATATGTGTGTGTGTTTTTATGTATAATACAATTTGTTTATGTAATTACTATAAGTATTTACAATTTGTTTATGTATAATATATGTATATGTGTGTCAGTGTGTGTGTGTATATATATACATATACATATATTGAATGACATGAATACTTTGGGCTACTTAGTATATAAGTATATATAAATATAAGTATATTCTCTCTTATATATGTTTATATCTCTTATATAATTATATATATGTATAAGTATGCTCTCTCTTATATATGTGTACAGTGTATACTCTCTCTTATATATATATTTATATTCTCTCTCTCTTAGTATATAAGTATACTTATATATACACATATATAAACATAAACTTATATGTACATATATAAGTATATTTATATAATAGTATAAATACATATAAGAGTATAAATATATATTTATATATCTATACGACTATACATATATATAAACATAAACTTATATGTACATATAATATAATTATATTTATATAAGAGTATAAATATATATATATACTATTATATAAATATAATTTTTATGTAATTTTTATGTTTTATTGTTTTTTAAAATTTTTTAAAAAACAAAAAAATAAAAAAAACAAAAAAATCCGGGCCGGGCCGGAGCCCGGCCCAGTCGGGCCCGGGTCCGGGCTCCAGTTTTGCCCGGCCCGGGCCCGGATTTTCGGGCCGGGCCGGGCCGGGCCGGCCCGGATGGACAGGCCTAGGCTCAGGCGTGGGTCGAAAATTCCAAGTAGAGCCCAAAAATAGAAAGGAAAGAAATTTAAAATTCTATGGGGGGTTTGTGGTTGGGATGTTTGGTGGGGAAAACAAGCAAAATTAGCAGTTGTTCTCCAAGTACTGATAGGGGTGAGCAAACGGTTGGTTCAGTCCCGTCTATTTCGCGTGAAACTGAACCGAACTGAATTGAACTGTATTAAATCAGTTTGTTCGAATTAGACTCATACATGCTAAATTAGAGAATTTTTCGTTAAAAGACAAGACTATTACTCCTTCGAATTGTGCGCCCATCTCATATTCGATGTTGAAGAGAAAACTTGCCAAATTCAATACTTTACAAACTAAAACCGAAGCTTTACCAATTAAGATGCATAAAATATTAGTATAAATTATCCATTCATCATACTCCCTTTAAAAACACGAGTTCGGAAAAAAAAATTTGGTAGAAAAAAATACCCTTGGAATTCAAATATTATCATCCATTAAGTAAGAGTAAGTTGATAAATTGATGAATTCTTATTGGATATACATAGTATGAAGATAATGGATGAATTCTTATTGGATATACATAGTATGAAGATAATGATACAGTTTAAATTGAAATGTAAATCTAAATAAAATTATTAAATGGATATACATAGTATGAAGATAATGATACAGTTTAAATTGAAATGTAAATCTAAATAAAATTATTAAATGCCAAATTTATAAATATCTACAAAATAAATAGTGTATATGTAAAAACCAAATAAATTAATGAGACAAATAATGTCTACCCAAAATGTCGAACCCAGAAACAACGTAGATCTACAAATGTACATAATGTGGATGGGATATTTATAAAATCCACCAAACAAATTAAAGAGATAAAAGTCATTCTCAAAATTATAAAAAATAAAAATTAAGGAAAACAAAAATCATACTCCCTTTAGAAACACGAGTTCGGAAAAGCTTTCCATAGTCAAAATTACCCTGTACTATTTTAAATATTTAATTTAAATTATAATCTATCCTAATCATATTTATATCATATCCTAATACCCCATGAACTATTTATACCTCAACAATTTAAATAATATTAATAAAATATAGAAAACAGCTCGGTAGTATCAGTTTATTACATGATGTATTTCATAAAAAGCAAAAAGTTTTAAAACTTAGACAAAATACTCTCAAAAGTTTAAAATTACACAAAATAAAAAGCTAAAATTTTAGAACTTGGCAAAGAAAAGAGTAATTGTGTCATATTCTTTCATTAAGATATATAAATATAACTTATAATTTAAGGTTTACTATCCTTTTCAGAATATGAAAATAGTTAAGTTGATATTCGTAAAAAAATAGTAATAATAACAGATTATAAATATCCAGTTAAAGAATAAAAATTTTAAAAAAATATATGATAGATTAAAAATTAATGTTATTGTGCAAATTAAAGTAATTGCATATAATTTACAAATATGTTAGAGCAGCAAAATACGTAAGTATCATTAATTGATAGAAGACTAAATTATAATAAATTGATAAAAAACTATAATATAATATGTTAACATTAATTAATTATAATTTAAATATATTAATCTCTAATGGTAATAATATTTATAGGGTAAAAATTATAAAGATTTATGTATGAAGAACTATTATAAAATTTAGAGATATCCTTCAAAAGAATCAAACGGATTTTATTTCAAATGGAATTCGGAACGTCCATGAATCACTTCAATTAACACTAACATAAGTTATATTTATCAAAAAAACACCGACTGAATATCCCCTGAAGAATATATTGAACAACTTTGTTCCAATCAAAGAAACATTCTTCATGGAAGATAAAAGAAAAATTACTATGTCATGACTCTCCGTAAGCAAAAAATATAAAATCTCCCTTTTTCTTTTTTTATATAGTATCACGACCCTGCGTGTGACATATTTAGGGATATGACTACTAACGAAGGATCAATTCTTAAAGACACGATCAAAGATAATGATGTAATAACACTATTAGAATTCAAGGTCTCTAAATATGAAGGTAATATATTTTATTACTAAAATTCTTATTAAAGGCCAATAGATATAAAATTCACCTTATATTTGTCTCAAATTTATAGAGAAGATATGCATGTCATCGTAAAATTACGTCAATAATATATATCAATCCAAAGATACAAGTGTAAAACCCCGTAAATTTGAATATTTTATAATAAATAATGATAAATATGTTATATGGTGAAAAATAACATATTTTGATGTTTGAGTATGATAAGAATTAATTTGAGATCAAATTAATGTATATTTATGAAAATATGTATGCAAATGCACAAAACATGCACAAAGGCCAAAAGAGTAAAAATCTGGAAATAATGACCAGTTGAGAGTTTTTATATTTTACACACCGATACAATCAGAATCTGGAAAAGTGTAAAAGACCAAAGTTGTAGGTCACTTTAATATCTTACCAATAAATCTTAGATCACCTCATTCCGAGGTCGGATGAGAAAGTTATAGCCAAAATACCAAAGGTTATTTTTCTAGTCAGACTAGATTTCCTGGTTCGGGTCAAACAGGTTTGTTTCGGGTTTGCCTCTATAAATACCTATGTTTTTCAAGAAAATTCTTTTCTTTTATTTTATCATATCTATGAACCCTAGCAGCCACCCATTCCCCTCAAAAAACCTAGATCTTTTTCTTATGAGTTTGGAGAGCTTTGTGAAGCAAAACACCGGCACGAGGGCGAGATCATCGACATGTAGCGAGGGAGAACGGGTTGTTCATGCTCATGGTTTGCTTGCTGATTGTTTTAGAGGCTTGCACATGAGATTAAGGCAATATAACTTACATCCAAACTCATTCCCATAGTTAAATAACTAGCTTAGAAGTTTAATTTGTGTTTACATGCTTAGATCTTACTCTAATGTGAAAAGGATTAGATTTTTATTGTTAGATCTTAAACAAATATTAGGTCTACATGTTTTTCTTGTTGTTTATAATAGAAATATGATCATGATCATTAGGGTTGCTTTTAAATTCATTTTTATCTTGTTAATCATGTGCTAATCATGTTTAAACCCTAATTTGACTTTTAATTGAGTTTGCATGTGGATTAAAGATGAGAAAACCCTAGGTTTGTGTTACCTAAGTGTTAAAAATATGATTTAATGAATGTATATGTTTTCTAAGTTATTTACCAATCATGCTTATGTTTAATATGTTAAAAGTCCATGCTTTAGATAGAAGAATTTGAGTAATTAGGTTGGAAAAACCCTAATTTGATTAACACAAGAGTTTATTTTATGTTTTATGAAAGTTTAAGGGTTAAGTATGTTTCTTGTTGCAAATATTCATGCTATATATGTTGAGATTGTTTCTAGAAGTATGAATCTGTTGTTATCATGTTTTCATGCAAGTTTCATATGTTTTAAACTAGTTTAGATCACAAAAATCGACATGAATACAACACAGTGCAGAAACCTGCACAGTCTGGAAAATCTATCCACGGTTGACCGCGTGCCAAGCAGCAGCCTGGGAAACCCTAAAAACCTATCGCGGTCGACCGCCGCATAATTGCGGTCGACCACCAACCTCTTTTGAGCCTGTGCATGTTTTGTTCGGTTGTTTTGGTCTTTGAGCGAGTCTCTCGACCTTGTACTATTGTATTATAATATTTATGACTTGTTAAACACCTGGGATGATGGTGAACTTCATATGTGAACACGCACACCGAGATATGTGCACTTATACTTAGTTTGTGTTAAATTAACACACTTTTGTCACAATTTAAAATTTATAAATACACATGACTAGTATTTGATCTTTCACGTATCCAGAAATAGGAAGATAAAACCTATTACCGCAGAACGATTGAGTAAGAGTATTACAATAGTATCGTTATTACATGTATCCGAAA